GAACCCACGCAAACACGGGGAGAACATGCAAACTCCACACAGAAAGACCCCGGCCTGATGGTGGAATTGAACTCGTAAAGGTCAAAGTGTTCAAATATGTGAAACAAATCTGCTAAAGCCCACGTCTGTTGATATTGTTGCCATGCAAAATTATCAGACAGCTGTGGGCACTGTTTCATCTCAGGGATGGGGGTGGCTGTAGCTCAGGTGGCACAGCAGATCAGCCACCAACCTGAAGGGCGGTGGTTCGATCCCGGTGCTCGTGTCTGCATGCCAAATATCCTAACCCCATGTTGCTCTCCGATGCATCCATCGGAGTGTGAATGTGTGTGAATGTTAGATACTTTTTTATTCTTTATTTAACCAGGAAAAAAATCCCATTGAGATTAAAAACCTCTTTTTCAAGCACAAGCACTTCTTCTACTTAAACTTAGAAGAAGTGCTTGTGTAAACGGGTGTGAATGAATTAGTTGTATAGAGCGCTTTGAGTGCTCAGACAGTAGGAAAGCGCTACATAAGAACCAGTTTAGCCCAACAAATGCCTCGAACTCATTTTTCTCAACTTTTAACATTTAACCCTTTTAACTTCTTCCTAAGATTTGATCAAATGTCAAGAATACTACATTTAAAGTAAAGTACTGTATTAACTACTGTGTTAAATGTTTCATATTTTCACATTCTTACACGTCTTCTTGATTTCTCTTAACTTTTCTCCAAACCTGAGCTTTCCCTCTGCTGTCAGCCGAAGACAGAAATCTTTACGTTCTTTACACTCCGGTACTGCATCCTGTCTTTTGGTCAACGCCACTGTCTCCAAATATCATCTGACAGCTGGTCTCGCTGCCGTCATCCCTGACACTATATGAATCAGAAAACAGAGGAGCATAGAGTGACGCAGCACGAGTCAGACAGAAAAATCTCTGCAGTTTACTTTGCTTGTCACGGTTTGAGAGCCTGCACATTGTTGTTACAGAAAAACTAAAATGTTGTGTGATTTTTATATTGCATAAAAATGTATAGAGGTATCATCATGTACAACAGCATCGGAGCATACTAATTAACACAGAAGAACTAAAGAACTGTGAAAGGTGAAAAAACGAAGCATTTCTCTGATATTTCCACAAATCTCGCGTCCTTTTTAGTACAATTAACTCCTTTCAGGTTTTGTGGTTTAACAGAATGCAACAATTAAACATCTTTGCTTTTGTTGCTGTCCTTGGTAGATTTGAACCTGCGTCCCTCCCTCCTCTTATTAAAACTGTAAGACAAGACAGGGACTGATTTTAACCCTCAGGAAAAATGTGTAGTCTCCAGCTGGCTGTGTTTGCTTTGGTCGCTACCATATTGCTGCGGTCGCAGGGTCAATGGCAGTGATGGCCTACAGATGCTGGCAGCTACCTCTCTGCTCTGAATCATACCTGTTATTAACCTGTCTCTCTTCCACAGCATGTCTTTATCCTTCTCTCACC